CATTACTCAGATGGCTATCAGACAGAGTACGGTAAGCACATGGACCTTGCCCAGTCGTAATATGAGAATTTTTTTCGCGTATTTATGGGCAGTAAATTGTTCGGTGCAAGAATTGCAACTGGCCGATGGTCGGCAATCAAGTGCACTAACAACATTTACGTACGATATGTGTATTGTTGCAGGTGCATGTGTAATGGGCAAGGGGAAAATATATATAGTGAACTAAACAATGGCATAACTAGTGAAGGTGAAGGTACTCCAAGGTTGCAGTGAAAGTGTTTTGAAATTTCAATGCAGTTCGTTTGAACAATTACAGATAATGGCCGCAAAAAGCACAGTCATACATACAATATCTTTCAATTCGAGGGAGAAACTTAAGTCAAACAAAAAAATTTCAGAAATTTCAGCTAATATTATTATTTAATTTTATGCTTCATAAATAGTAAGGTGCTTTTACAAACATCTTAAAATAACATGGATTTTTTTTTATATTTTACACTATTTATTCATTGAAATGCAGATGATTTACTTAACAAATTAGTGTTAAGATGGTATTCAGAATCTATATCCATAAGGGATTTTTGTTAGCAAAAAATTTGTCTAAAAAATCACCTTCAAACTTTGTGAGTAGCACCGTTTTTCCCGAATGAGTTTTCTAACCCACTTCTGAGGAATCATATGCATGTTTTCTACTCAATAACTACTAAGGACAATCCTATATAAATCCTAAAAAGCAAATTTAAAATATATAAAAACTTTAGATTTTTTTAAAAGATATTACATCAAATATAACAACCTTTCTTTTTAAACTACTTAGGACTAAATATGATCAATTTTATGAATCTCCTCAGTTTATATCTTTAATTTTAAAATGTAAGATACATATTTTTGATATATTCAAATTTAAGAATATATAAGCAATTTTCAAGACTCAAAAAAGTATCACACTAAACCTAAAAATGTCTGTGATATTTTTTCAGATTTCCGATAAAGCGCTAAATTCAAATATAAGGGTAAAGCAGAATAAGAAATATTAGTTAGGCTTTAATACAACTCGATATGGTTCAGAAGACATTAAACAATATAAAAACAGATTCAACTTAGGTTTTCCTAAAGCCTTAATAGTTTCTTAAAATTATAAATATTGTAGCACCCAAATGCGATGTTAAAAATTTATCGTGGAGTATAAATGGTTAGTCCTTGAAGAAAAATATTTCATTTTTATTTTGTTCACAAAATTTTACTATCATTTGCATCATAAGTTGACAAGTCATAAGTTTTATAGAATCAGTTTTATATATTTTGAATATAATATCTCTGAAATAGCCTCAATCGTTAATTAGTACGAAGAATCATACAGAAATTCCCAAAGATTCTAAAAGTAATTAAAAGTGTGACTTATTAAAGTAATTAAAGTATAAAGAAAATCTTGAAGGTACAATTTTTCATAAAACTGCATTTTCTTCCAGTGAATTTAATTGACCTTATTTCATGAAACATATGTCACTTCCTTTTTAAATAGAAAGTAAAGAAGGGAAATAAATTAAATGCAATTCGTTAATTAATGGGAAAAACGTTAGCATGAATTTCATACCATACGCAGATGTTCAGAAATTTAATAGTCATCCCTCATATACTTTATGTTGCTAATTCTAATTACTAACAACTGAAGTATCCTTCTCAGTAATTTTTTTCTTTAAGATTCTACCTACAATTCCTTTTAATTTTTAGGGACATCTTTTCCAAGCATTATCCCGCGCAAATTTTATACTAGTTTTTCTACCTACAATGACTTTTCTATCCTTGTTCTTTCCTGCAGTGATAAGATATTTCGTATTGTTTATTTTTTCTATAAATACTGTGCGTATTCTGACTATAATTCATTTACAGTTTAAGTTTCAAGAGACAAGTTTTATCTTCACTAAAATTATAAACTCAAAATGACTGGTCGTGGTAAAGGTGGTAAAGGTTTGGGAAAAGGTGGTGCTAAGCGTCATCGCAAAGTTCTTCGTGATAACATCCAAGGTATCACGAAACCAGCTATTAGACGTTTGGCTCGCCGTGGTGGAGTTAAGCGTATTTCTGGTTTGATTTACGAAGAAACTCGTGGTGTATTAAAGGTATTTCTGGAAAATGTGATCCGTGATGCAGTTACATATACAGAACATGCCAAAAGGAAGACTGTTACAGCCATGGATGTTGTATATGCTTTGAAGAGACAAGGTCGCACTCTCTACGGTTTCGGAGGTTAAATAAATAATATTAGTTTAAAAATGCAATACTGTTAATACTATATTGCTTAATGGTCCTTTTCAGGACCCCAATATGTGAACATTAAGAGATAAATTATTCATTTGGCTTATGTTGCTGAAATGTTTGATTTCAAACAAAATACTTTAACATGTTTTAAAGCAAAATCAATAAATCTATCGGTTGAAAAAAAAATGGGGAAGATATGTCATATGACTGGCTTTGTAGTAATAAATGTATATTAATATTATAATTTTTCATTTTTTAAAAATATATTCATTTAAAATGATTTTTTGGTTATTTTTTAGCTGGCTATAGGTCACTTTGTTTTTCCAATAAAAATTAAAGAAACCTTTGATGCACTGTAGTATGGACAATAAAATAAGTAATTTGACAATTAGATTAATGGAATGTGACATTATTAGTTTTTATTTTTATTAAAACATAATCCTGATGATGGCTTTCAAAGAGACTCAAAATATAGAATGGATTTTTTAATTTTTATTGGAGAAAAAAGTGACCTAAAGCCAGCTAAAAAATAAACAAAACATCATTATAAAATATATACAGGTCGAGAAACAAATTTAAAGAGAAAATAAAATCAAACAATTTATTATTTATATGTGTTTTCATAATAAGGGCCTATCTTAATAATTTTACTTTAATTACTTAATATAATTTTTTGAATATATAGTAAAATTTTTTATATGGTATATAAAAGCAATCACCTTCTTAGCAATTTTTTAATAGTCTTATAAACATTGGATTGAATTTTAAAGACTTCTTTAGTGTACTGATAATTGAGTGATACTAAAAAGCTTGAAACAAATTGTGATGTGTAAAACTACTGAGACTGTCATTTTAACTCATATCATCATTGTTAGATTTACGCGCCAAAACCCTGAGATATTTTTGTTTCAGATACACATTATACTTCTAATATCCTTACCAGAGTATATACATGTCATCATACACGTACTAAAATCTATATATATTCGTAGAAATTAATATTTGGTATTGTATATTCTTGTATTGGAGTAGGTTTCATTATTACTTAGTAGGTAATTATTTTAACGTTAGTCTTGTTATGCGATGCCAAACCAACAATAACATTATTGTTGTTCAAAAATTTTTGATTAATTTTATTTTTTGATCTCAATATCATTCGTTATACTCATATTTAATAATATTTCGTGCGAATAGTTTAATATTGTAAAACAGTGAATCATTATAACAAGATAGTGCAAAGTTTTTTTTAATTCTCAAATATCTGAAATTATATACATCATTACCAGTAAAATGAATGTAGTGTAGTACTGATGATTCCATTGAACATAATACGCCTTCACCCGTATGATAAAAAGACGAATTCTTATTATAAAAGGAAAATTTTATACCTTTTAATATCAGAATAATCTTTATAAACAAAACATAAAAAATTTATTTGATTTTAGGTGTATTTGACATTCAGGCGACATTAAACAAAATTCTCATAATTACACTCTAGGTCGAAACACACACTTTTCTACATATTTGCTAAACGGGATATAAACTGAATCCTTAAAGCATTAAATACAATAAAATAAATTTAGAAGACAATCTTTCTGATGGATGTCTAACCAACTTTTAAAATATTTGCAGTAAAACACAGCCTAATACCAAAATTGTTTAATTATAATTTTATAATTAATACCATACCAATTATTAAAATACCACAATGTCGATAGTTATTGTAGTTATTGTGGAATAGAATAGAGGTTTCCACCTCTATTGTTCAAGAAAATTTTGTATGCCAATAAAACTTGGATTATATTAAAAGTCTCTATTTAAAGAATTATAAAATACAATAATGTTCGAAAATCAGTATTATTTTATTCATTGGAAACTTCACCTATTTATTAATATATATGTTAATAATCTTAAGATCACTTATCGACTATAATTAAATACTTTTGTGGTCCTGAATGTTGATTGTTCAATACAAATAAATTTACTTGGAACTGGTATACTGAGTGATAATACTATTAGCTCAGCAACATTATTTTACTCATTTCTGGGGTGTTCACTCATTTGTGAAGTCTATGTTAATAATTTTAAAATTAATTATCGACTTTAATTAAATATTTTTGTGGCCCTGAAAAGGACCGTTGGAGTTAATGTTGATTGTTCAATACAAAAAAATTTACTTGGAACTGGTATACTTAGTGACGGCTTTAGTACCTTCACTAACTGCGTGCTTAGCCAATTCTCCAGGAAGTAAAAGGCGAACTGCAGTCTGAATTTCCCGACTAGTAATTGTGGATCGTTTGTTATAGTGGGCCAAACGTGAAGCTTCAGCAGCAATGCGCTCGAATATATCATTCACAAAGCTGTTCATGATGCTCATAGCCTTGGATGAAATACCAGTATCAGGATGAACTTGCTTCAATACTTTATAAATGTAAATAGCATAACTTTCCTTCCTCCTGCGCTTCTTCTTCTTATCGTTCTTAGTTATATTCTTCTGAGCCTTTCCGTCCTTCTTGACCGCTTTTCCGCTAGTTTTTGGTGGCATGATTTCAAATGTGAAATTTCAAATTTTCAATTTTATGAATTTTCAAATTTGAACTACCCTCACTCAGAATTTAAGTATTTTTAAAACAAAAATTTCAAGAAATTCTCTCTTTACATTAGGGGATGAAAAAGGTATAAATTCTTGGTGTTTGCCTGTTTTCAACTCAGATCACGTAGATCAACTTAACAATCAAATACTATTGAAACATGTCTGGTCGTGGTAAAGGAGGTAAAGTTAAGGGCAAGGCAAAGTCTCGCTCAAATCGTGCTGGATTACAATTTCCAGTTGGTCGTATTCATCGATTGCTGCGAAAAGGCAATTATGCTGAACGCGTTGGTGCCGGCGCTCCCGTCTACTTAGCTGCTGTTATGGAATATTTGGCAGCTGAAGTTCTTGAATTGGCTGGCAATGCAGCACGCGATAATAAGAAGACAAGAATCATACCCCGTCATTTACAATTGGCCATCCGTAATGATGAAGAATTAAACAAATTGTTGTCTGGTGTCACAATCGCACAAGGTGGTGTATTACCAAACATCCAAGCTGTCCTTTTGCCTAAGAAAACAGAAAAGAAGGCTTAAACTATATCTTACAACACTATTTCTTTCGAAATTTTCGAACAACAACCGTCCTTTTCAGGACGATCAATTTATTTGATTAAAGAAAACATACTTCATTTCAAACAATTATTATTTATACAAATATTTCTTTGAAAAACGTAACCCATAAAAATGGTTAAAATTGGTTTACAGAAACCATTTCCAAAATAATGTCAAATGAAATATGATTTGGAATCAAGCACCTCCATCTTCCGGCAATCAGAGCAATTCTACTCCATACGTATTAATTCGGTTACTTCCTACACGTACGTGTAAAACATTCTAATTTTAACATTAGCTCTATTTGAGCAATTTTTGGATTAATTATGTTTTAATATCACATTTACGTTTGAAATAAACAATTCATTATAATCATTATTTTCGGTATATACGTATCCTAATTTATTTTAACTAGTTATATATAGTTTGTATATAGTATAAAATGCAATTAAACAATTCTATATATGGTACAAAAACATGTAATTATATTCAAGA